TTGTAATGTAATATATTTTACATTTAACTAAAATCTAATCCTTATTCTGTATAACTTTAACTATTTAACTTTTACTGTTAACAACAGCACAGAATAAACATTATGAGAGCCTTCACCATTTTCTATATGATAGTTTCAGATTTCTCGGATTATCATAGTTATTCTGCTCTAAATTGTAGTTTATTATTATATAACACTACAGCTAGCTACAAGAGGTGATAAAATATGATGTCACTACACTACTTCTTCCCATGTTCTGGATACTTTTTTTAATGCTGCCTCAACATTTTAGCTATTTTGACAGCCATGTATCACTGATTCGCTATGGCCACTAAAACCTAGTCTTCAACATATAGTGCTTAAATGATGGCTCTCATCATATACTTATTTAATAGATATATTAAACCGAAATCTTAAGATTTATTATTTTTCCTATAGAATCCCATCTTGGCTGTAGATCAAGTTGAATCTCCATTGCCATGCAATATATTTCTTTTATATTATGTCTCAATATATGTTGCCAGTAAATATGATCCCAAAATACTGTCATACTAATCCTGAAGGAGACAAATGTCATAACCCAATATAGACCAATGCAGTTTAATAAACTTTCTAATGGGATAGATAGAAAAGAGTAACTCCCAAAATAATTACATAGATACTATGTATGTTGATGTGGGAAATGTAAACAGGTTCAGATTACATTTGAAGATGGTCTAGGTAAACTATTCGAAAAAGTTCAGAGTAACACTGGGCAGGGAAGAACAGTAGGTAGGAGAATAACAAAAATAAACTCCTTCATTTTGCTTGATGTCAATAAAAAACATAGTGACTTGCCTCAGGTTTTTATTTTTATTTTACTCCCTAATTGCAATTTCCAGTTAAAAGTGATTCAGCAGGTAATTTGTTATGTATGGTTTTAAATTTTTTCATTTAGGTATAAATGAACACATGAGAATTATGAACATCAAATTTAGAACACTGAATATCATGGGTATACAGTACAAGAAACACTTCAACTGTAATGGGTGATGTTTTATCTCTTAAATTGGGTGTTGGGTTCACCAAAGTTGATTATATTATTCTTGACACTTTTTCATAATCTGAAATATTTTATAATTTTAAAATAGCTTAGAAAAATAATCTGGATTTTATGTTCATCTTAGTAGTGTAATTCCATTTCTTGACTCAGTCAAGCCCTTGATAAACAACTAATGGTTATGGAAATGACTCAACTGGTAGCTCTATGTACTTTTACTCTAGCTGCATAATTATGTTGATAAAAAATACATTTTTCTCAAATACAAGTACTATAGTAAAGAAACTACACAACTAACACAAGAATGAACTTTTTCAAATATAAAATACATAAGAGGAATTTTATAGTATGTAAATTTCCTACTTTCCTATTAGGTAGTTATAAATTTTTATTGACAATACTTCTTTGAGGAACTTCCAGATTTTGCAAAAAAAAGTCTTATTTCCATTGACCATATTATCAAAAAGACTGACATGCATTATTTTCTTCACTTTATAATTTCTTAAATGGGAACAGGGAAACCAGATGATTTATTGGCTATTGCCTAGGAAAGTACCAGTATACCACCTACTATGTGAAAACCTGATATAGTGATCCTGCTTTGAAACAGTGTCCTTCCTATCAATTATCAAACCATGTGCTCCTACCATGGTACTTAACAAGTGATAGGGAGTGTATGGGAGCAACTAATAGATTCACCATCAATCTCTCCTGCCAAACACATACAGACCCCACACATTTAAATAAGATCATCTGAATTTGTCAGTTCCTCAAAAAGTAAACAATTACCATATGATCCAGCAATTCCACTTCTGGGCATATAGTGAAAAGAAGTGAAATCAGGGATTTGAAAAAAAGATATTTGTACAGCCCATGTTTATAGCAGCATTATTCACAACAGTCAAGGTGGAAGCAACTCAAATGTACATTGACGAATGGATAAACAAAATGTGGTATACACACACAAATATTATTCAACCTCAAAAGGAAGGAAATTCTGACACCTGCTACAACATTGGATGAACCTTGACGTTAATGCTAAGTGAAATACGCCAGTCACAAAAGGACAAATATTACATATTCCTACTCAAGGTGCCTAGAGTAGTCTAAGCCATAATGACAGAATGGTGGTTGCCAAAGGCTGGGAGGAAGAAATGAGGAATTTGTTTAATGGTTACAGGGTTTCAGTTGGAGAAGATGAAAAAGTTTTGGAAATGGATGGTAATGATGGTTGTGCAACAATGTGAGTATACTTACTGGTATTGAACTGTACACCTAAGAGGTTAAAATGGTAAATTTTGTTATGTATATTTTACCAGAGAAAAATCAGAGTAAATATGTAAAATAAGTGTAATGGCTCAACAAACAAAAAGGAAAATATCTTCCAAAGATGAGACTTGATTGACATTATTACCACTAGTGAAAGATTGTACCACATCAAAATACATACTTTTCAGCAAAGAAACTTAGAAAGGAGAAAGGAAAATGACTGTGTTTTGGCACAATCCAACCTGTGAAGAATAAGACAGGTGGTGACTCAAGTGGAAAGGGATGCATCAGGCTTAAAACATGGGCCATTAAAAGCACCAAACTAATTTCTACTGTTTCCATTTTGTATTTGCCAAACAATCTTCTGATTATAATTTGGATCTGGCTTTCATTGTTAATTTGATTAACAGAGAAGGTGAGGACCAGCAACTATACTAGCTCCATTGTTATATTTCTTCTAAATTAATACGTTAGTATTAATGGGTTTTACATAGCAATATCTCAGCACCCTAGAATCCATCACTTCAAAATATGATAAACCAATATCAAGCCTAGAAAAGAATCAGATGTTGAAACCCAGTAAATCACACCAAGGTCCTGCTAGGCTGTGGATACATCTGTGGCAAGCTATAGCAGCTTCCCTCTAGATTTACACTTTCCATACTGCTACATTGTAATTGCTTATTATTAGACCCAGTTCCTTGAAGAGCTTACCTTTTATCCCTTATAAGTAATAAAGTTCGTAGTACAAAGGAAAGAATCCAGTAAATACATGGTAAATGAAAATAAAATCCAATTTAGACAATGAGGGACAAAGTATTGTAAAGTTTCTTTATATAATTTTCTTCTAAAGTTTACAAATGGAAAGTTAGACGAGCAATAGAGGAGACCAAATGAGCCTATTTAGATTCAATTGCAACTCTCAATTCAAGTTGAAGTTACAGTAATTAGACCATATTTCACTGAAAATGCCCCTGAAAGGTGTTCTTACTATGTGATGTGATCTGCATGAAAGCCCAGAAATAGACCCCACAAAGCATACATGCCTTTCCCCCAGTAACTGCTCATCTAGTACAATAAAGAACTTGGACAACAGGTACCTTCACTTGGCAAATACGTGTGACTATTGTGCCATTTCTTTCTACGACTCACATGTACTCAAAAGGAAGAATGAAATTCCTTTCTGATGTGTCCTAGAGTTCTGCTGGTTCAACACCAGCCAAGAGTGCCCAGACAAGGATCTACTAAGAAACTAGCACATACAACAGGTGTAACTCGACTGTACAGGAGAGCATTGGGGCACACCAGCTTACATAATTCAAATTACAAGAAAAACAGTGCTATATGTGAAAGGTTTTATGTTCATGTAAACTAGATTCCAGTTTACAATAGAAAATAATCTCTGACCTATTATACACAATCAGACATGATGATTAATTTTTCTCAACTATTATGTGTTTGATATTCCTTTTTTCTCTTTGGGTCAACAACACATCCTAGGCAAAATATGAGTTATTTTCCTTTTTAGCAATTAAGAAAACAGACTCCAGAACCAGATGGCCTGACTTCCAATCCTAGCTCCACAAATCCTAGCTGTGTAACCTACAAATCACCCAAGCTCTGTGGCCCCCCTTGCCTTATTGGCAAAATGAGGACAGTAACTCCCTTAAGGGATTTAATAAGGATTAAATAAACTAATTTGCAATACTTTCTGGCACAAAATAAGAATCACTTCGTTACTTCTGGTTGTTATTGTCACTGGTTGTGTTTTCAAACACAAATTTCACCTAAACTCTCAAAAACATTCTGGCAATTATGAATTTACGTATCTGTATCTACCACTAGACGGTAAGTGTGACTTCCTGATTGTGATTTATTCATTTTTTTATAGCAGAAGCTTCACACTGAGCAAGGCAGATACATGTACCAGCGCTGTCCAAGTTTGCATATATAAAGTCCTTGCTTAGTAAAACCTTAAAGCCCAGCAGAGACGAAGAAAGCCTTTTGGGAAAATCTATTCAATTTACTTACAAATGGTAAAAAGTTCACGTCCCGATAAAAGCAAAAAAGAAAAAATGGAGGTGCAATCTAAGTACATACTATGCTGGTTTGCATATATTTATCATTATGAAAATAGGATAATTTATTTAAGGAGACTACCACCGCATTCCTCCTGCCCTTTTTTTTTTTAAATCACAAAAAACAAACCTGTCCCTGTCAACTTTTACTGCAAGTGAAAAAGGGCGTAACGTTTTAGACTGTCCGACCTGAAACACTTCCATTCTGTCGGAACCTTGTACAAGTTCTTGGGGGGATGTCCCTAGTTTCCACTTTATGTTTCTGAAAGTATTAGGTTATCTCAGGCCACAACCTTTACATTTGGTAATAGTTCCTTTAGGACGGAAGGAGGAATAACCTTCCCTTGTCCATTTCTCACAGTGGCATCCAAATTTCAGTCAAAAGAAAAATTTCTTTTAATTCAGCGTAGTATTTAATACTGTGTAGTCAGACAAATCTGTATTCGGCCTCCGGTAGGTCAGTCACCAGCCATGTGACGTTGCAGAAGTCTCGTTACCAACAAATCCGGAAGAAGGGCATGAACGCCCAGCTAGCGTCTGGAACAGAGACAGCCTTTCCGCTTACACTCACTGTGAATAAAAAGCAACGCCGCCTAGGGCTGTAGCCGCGGCCCCTGCGACGTGACGCTACACCGTGTTGATTACGTCACTTCCGGGGCGACAGGTTTACGCTTCTTGCGCCTAAGGAAGGGCGTTTGGCTGTTTTTGCCCGGGAAGGAGACCAGTAAGGTGGGTGAATTGCTCACCCCTCTTCCGCCGATCCTTTCACGTGTCTGGAAAAGCGGTTTCAGCCCGAGCCCCTTGCCTGCTTAAAGCAGAGACTAGTGCTGGCCACCTGCCCTATATTCACGAGGGAGCCTTCTTGGCCCCGAAGAAAACTGCTTCGCACAGCTGCTTTGCCTGGATTTAGTGAATGCATATATAATTTCTTGAAGTGTACCCATTTGGACTGCACACCCCGCAGCTGCCCTCTGCGAATAGGTCCTGCATATCTAATCCCTGCATGCCCTGTTCTCCCATGGAACAATGTAATTTTACAATAGTTATTTGCTCTTTTTTCCATTTTGTCCATTACTGTGGTAGGAAAGAGACTGTCTAAACATTCGAAAAGTTTTAGAACAGGTGATCTGGAAACTTGGCAGTGTGAAAATAACAGGTTGCTTTAATGATGGGCTGTTATTTTGGGGGGGAATATTGGGATAGATCCCTGTTGTGGTAAACCTGTGGCAAAAATGAGATTTAATTAGAAAAATTGTAATTAGCGAATTAAAAGCTTACTAGATTGTAGTTAATTTAGTTGAGATGTGGTTTTTTTAAAGGTATGCTTTATGAGAACGCCTGTTTCTCGACCAAATCTTGTGTGTTTATGTGAATTACTGTTTTCAAACCAAACGATGAAATTCTACTTTAAAAAATGTTTCCAGGAAATGGCATGCATATTTTTTTTATCGATTTTGCCTTTATCATTTTTTTAAAACCACGTTTTATCATAATTTTAGCTATCAAAACATAGCGCTTTCTAGAGGACTACCCATACAACTATTGTACTGTACTATTTGTTGTTTTATAAAGAGTACAGTAATACTAAAAAATTTTATATCGGACTTACCTGTTTTTCCCCTTCAAGAGCATTTATACTTCATTAATAGATTGTTACAGCCTTTAAAACTTTTTTTGAGAGGGCATCTCTCATATTTATTGATCAAATGGTTGTTAACAACAATAAAATTCTGTATAGGAGACTCAATGCACAATCATTAATCAACCCAAAGCCTAATTCTCAACAGTCTCCAATCTTCTGAAGCATAACAAACAAGTTCTTACATAGTAAGTTCTTAGATGGTGAACAGTGCAAGGGCAGTCATATCACAGAAACTTTCAGTTTTGATCACGCATCATGAACTATAAACAAGTCAGATATGACTATTCGTTTGATTTTTATACTTAATTTATATGTGAATCCCACATTTTCCCCTTATTATTATTATTTTTATTAAAATACAACCTTTAAAACTTTTTCCTGAGTTTTGTAAAACTTTCCTATAATTTTGCAAAACTATATATGGAAAAATAAGTTATCAGAAATTTGCTTAACTGAATGGGCTGGTGGCTAATGTCAGTTCCAAATAACAGTGTTTATTTCTTTAATTCTTTTCTAGGAATTATCTATAAAGTATGCTAATATTGAACAAGACAGGAGTTTTTTCTAAACTATCAAAAAGGAAAATTTATGAATTTTTAATAAGTTTTAACTTTCATCCCGGAAAACTATTTCTTCATAAACTAGTATTGGGAATTGAAACCAGTTGTGATGATACAGCAGCTGCTGTGGTGGATGAAACTGGAAATGTTTTGGGAGAAGCAATACATTCCCAAACTGAAATTCACTTAAAGTAAGTAGACATCATCTTGGTAGTTTACACAATTTTTGGAAAAAGTAAAATGAAATAACTCTTTTGTGTTTATCATATATAAAAGTTAAATTTTCGCAGTTAATTTCTTTTGTGCCAAAGCTTCTAATAACTGCTGTAGAAAACCTTAAACCCTCAACCTGGCTTATAAGGTCCCGACATTAGCTAATCTTTTTGCCAAAAAGAAACTATCATTTCCTATTCCAAATGTATCCATGATTTCCCCTAAGTAATGCCTTTTCCTCTCTTATGCACTGTATGTTTCATGGTCTCAACTGAAGTCCTAAGACAGTATATGATCCAACATAACCTGCACTGATCACTGGGAAAAAAAAATCCTGTTCACTTTTATACACATAATTCATGTTGGTACTTGAATAAATAATAATATACTATTATATTAAAGCACAGAATGGTACAAGTTTTATAACTATAAAAGGACCCCAAGGTGGGTTACATAAATAAATAGGCTGGATGTAAAGTTGGAAAAAGTCTGGAGAAGGCCTCTACTCAGATCTAGCCAATTGTTGCCATGCGGGAATGTAGGCCCTATGTTATTTGATAGAATTTTCAAGAAAAAATGTAAATCCAGAATGTTCCTGTTAATATCCCCATCTTATTTTTTAAATGTCGCTAATTCAAAACATATTAAAATACCATACAGATTGAATATGCCTTCACGCCATCAATTTTCAAAATCTGAATAGTGATGAAAGATGGTATTTTGGTGTCACAGACCTGTATTTGAGTCATGACTTAGGCACTAAGTATTGCTCTAACTTAAGGCAAATTCCTTCTCATCTCTATGTTTTCACATACATAAAATGGGAGAGATAATACCTGCCCTGCAGGATTGTGGGGAGTATAATAGAAATAATATAAAATATTATAATTGGAAATACATGTGGAGGCAATATATGACTAAGATACATGATCCTTGCCTCTAAACAGTTTACTACATAAAGTGGTTTAGTGTAGGTTTACATTCTAGTTTAGCTACTTAACTAGCTTTGGGACCTTGCACAATTTTCTGTGCCTTGGTTTCCTTATCTGTGAAAGGGGGATAATGAAACTAGTTCATAATATTGTTGTGAAGATTAAATGTGAATTCTCTTAAAGCATTTAGTGCAGTTCTTGATAAACTGCTAAATAAAATAGTTCTCAATTAAACCTACCTATTATTAGTAACAACAGTACTTCTACTACTTCTGTAAATAAGTGAAGACAGGAAAACATCACTGTGAAACTGCATGGGAAGTGCAATAATAGAGGATTGCTTGGGAGGAGAGTCCTTTCTTCTAAGCCCAAAACCTGAAGGACAGTTTTGACTTCTCTTTCACCATTCTGTATCCAAACAGCATCCAGTCACAGGAAAACTACCTCTCAAATATTTCTTGAAACTTTCATCTCCCTTTGCACTGACTTAGTTCCAACACTGTTGTCTCTTGTCTGGACTCCTGGCTGTAGCCTTGAGACCAAAGGGTTTCCCTGCCTCTTTAATAGCTTTTTTCCTTCATCATCCCCTATCCATACTGTATACAAATTAAGAAAGACAAGAAGACATGCTCATTATTAATCCTTCGAGAATAAAGCCATTGTCTTATTCGTCCTTTTCATCTCTGGTACTTAGCATAATCCTTGGAAGGTAAAATACATTGAAGAGGCACAGAAAGGAAGGGAGGTAGTCAAGTGGGAGAAGGAAGAAAAAAGTGGGAGGGAGAAAATTTGGCTTTAAAGTCTCCCAAATTCCAAGAAAATAAAGGCTTTTGAGTAGGAGACTGATGGAGTTAGCACTGTGCTTTACTTTCTGGCAACACATAGAATGGACTTCAGGATGAGGGAGTGTATCTAGGGTAGTGGAGTTAGAAGGCTTTGAATTTACTGAGATAATGAGAGCTTTCTAAATGTGTTGGCAGGGGGAATTGTGATAAACTTAAACGTGAAAAGTTAAGGAAAGAAAGGAGATGAAGGTGAACAGTGAAACCCAAGTGCTTAGGAGGTTATTGGCACCATGAACAATTGAGGAATATAGGAAAAAGTAGCTTTGAAGGATTAAGGAAAAAGGTATAATATGGATATGTTGAAATAAATTGATTTATTTTAATACCTCCCTCATTGCCTGACACAGTACATATAACTATTAAATATTCACTGAATGCTCCTGAGGATTTTCATTTCTTTGTATAGAACTAGCAGATCTTGCAACATCAAATATTTGAAGTTTTTTTTTTTTTTTTTTTTTGAGATTAGAGGTGCATCTAGCAAACCCTGTATTATGGCCCAGCTTCTCTGATTATAAATCAGTCACATGCTTACAAATTTTTTGCTAACAACTTTGCTTCCCATTTCCTTACTCTTGGTACTTATTCATCCACTGCTTGTCCTGTGTGGACCACAAATCAAAATTACCAACTCTGAGTACTGGATTCCCAAACTTTTTCCCAGGATTTCAAGCTGTCTGCTGTCCTGCTGAAACCTCAAGAGCAGCGTGTTTAAAAATAAGCTCATCTTCTTCACAAAACTGTCTTCATGTTTTTCTGTTAATACTTCTTTTCTTCCAGTCATTCAAGCTCAGTATCTGAATCATCTTTGATGACTTAAGTTGTCCTTCCCTTATATCCAATTAATTATTACTGTTTTCAAGGCTCTATCTCTCTCTCTCTCTGTTTCCATGATCACCCAGTTTAAGATGTAATTGCCTTATACAAATACTCTCACAATAACTTCTTTAAAAATTTCCTTGTCTGCAGAGAGATTAATTTCCCTAAAATCCACTTTTATCCTGTGCCTTCCTTGTTCAAGACTTCTTACTTAGAATGCTTCTCAAAACTGTTTTGGTGATTTCATAGGAGTTTGTTGTACACAATTTTGAAGTCAGAGACACTACACCCACAATCACTGCATATTGAGTTCTTATAGTGTGCTACTTTATAAAGCACAATATTTGAAAATGCTTAACGTTTTTAGCTACATAATGATTAATTTGAAAGCATGCCTTCAGCTATAATATATAACTTTTCTTCATCTATTTTTACAATCTTAAAATTATAAAAGCTGTTGTTTTTTTTTTCTTTCAGAACAGGTGGGATTATTCCTTCAGTAGCTCAACAACTTCACAGAGAAAATATTCAACGAATAGTGCAAGAAGCTCTTTCTGCCAGTAAAGTCTGTCCAAGTGAACTTTCAGCAATTGCAACTACTACAAAACCAGGACTTGCTTTAAGCTTGGGAGTAGGCTTATCATTTAGCTTACAACTGGTCAGGCAGTTAAAAAAGCCTTTCATTCCCATTCATCATATGGAGGCTCATGCACTTACTATCAGGTTATCAAGTAAAGTTGAATTTCCTTTTTTAGTTCTTTTGATTTCTGGGGGTCATTGTCTCTTGGCATTAGTTAGAGGAGTTTCAGATTTTCTGCTTCTTGGAAAGTCTTTGGACATAGCGCCAGGTGACATGCTTGACAAGGTAATTATTTAAGAATTAATTTCTTCATTTTTTTGGTTAAGATGTCTGTTTCAATTAAATAGTAATAGATGCACTACTACCATTCATCTAGCAATTCTTCTACCATTTCTGAATAATATATTGGACCCCCAAAAATTATGTGCAGTAAGAAAAAAAAGAAAAACACTACTACATAGTCATATAAAAAATTCTTACACATTTTGAATAAAATGGTAATAGACTTAACATCAGTAGATAAAGGCTCAGATAGTTTGCAGATGCAGGTATGCTTTTAATCAAATAATATATGTGAAAGAAAGTACTTTTTAAAGTGTAAGGTACTGTAAAAGTGTGAAATAAGAGGATATCTGAAGTTAATATAAGGACATTAAAGATACCCTGGGTTTATGATTAAATATCAAAATTGCTGACCCCACCACCAAGCAGATTTCTTTTTCCTTTATTTCAGACTCCTACAGATCCTACTGCCATATATAAAAAACCTGCTGTCAACAGCTGAAATAATTGGAAGAAATAGGGCAGGTTCTAATTTTTGAAGTTCATCATTAATAACCACTTTGAACTTCATACCTATTATATCCCCAACAGAAGAACAAAACTAGATAGGGAGGCAGTGATTGGCCACCACTGACCAAGTTCTCAGAAGGAGCAAGATTTTCTTGTTTTACTGATCACCAGCTGTAGTCCAGATTTGTAGAAGTCTAGCATGTGTTATTCATCCCAAGTTTTCTTTTATAAGTAAAATTCACTTCTTTTGCATCTTGCTTTCAAAATGTACATTTTTATGACTCATTACGTAAATTTTTGTTTGTTTTTGATAGGTAGCAAGAAGACTTGCTTTAATAAAACATCCAGAGTGCTCCACCATGAGTGGTGGGAAGGCTATAGAATATTTGGCCAAACAAGGAAATAAAGTGCATTTTGATTTCATACCTCCCATGCAACGTGCTAAAAATTGTGATTTTTCTTTTTCTGGACTTCAAAATGTTATTGATAAGATAATACTGCAAAAGGAAAAAGAGGAAGGTATATTTCCAATTAATAAAGTTGGACAAATAAGTAATCCTGGATTATGCCTAAAAATACCTTCTCATTTCTTCAGGTATTGAGAAGGGGAAAATCCTGTCTTCAGCTGCAGACATTGCTGCTGCAGTGCAGCACACGACAGCATGCCACATTGCAAAAAGAACACACCGTGCTATTCTGTTTTGCAAACAGAGAGACTTGTTATCTCCAAGTAATGCAGTGCTCGTAAGTTTTGTCACCTCATTTTAGAATAGTAGTAACTCTTTACAGTATGTTACTTTTCTTCCAAAAGCATAATTGACCCTGTGCATAGGATGAAAAGATGTTTATGCTGTATGCTAGCCCTGACAGTATGAAATAATGCGGAATAAAGGAGAACAACTATTTCATGTACAAGTATGGCAGCTCTATGGGACATCTCTGCAGCTTGTGTGGCAAAAAAGCTCAAGGCTGCATCTTCTCATTGAATTTAAAAGAGGGTTTTCAATAAGAAAAGGAATGCAGTAACTGCTGTCATCATCTTTAGAAAAATAGGCTGGTTTCCTTCAAATTTATGGTCTTTGATGAAATCCTTTTAAATGTGCATGAAAGTCTTCATAAACTTCCTGTTTATATCTTAAACTTAATTCTTTTGAAAGTGAAAAAATATTTAAATGATGGTAGATTAATAATACACAGATATCAAAGATAATAGGTTTTTAAGAATTATGTAGTAAAATGAAGAAAGTGCTTTTAAATGCAGCTGCAGGGTCTAGAGTATTGTTGTACTATGATTGTAATTAGAAATATGTTGGAAGAAAATATACAGAAATAATAGTTGTAAGCTGTTATAGAAACTGTTGATTTTTTTCCTTCTCTAAGTTTTTATTATACAGATACATGACTTGCCCAAATATCTAAATGTGATTATTTTCTTATTGTATAAAGTTGGTATTTTCCTAAGTTAACTAACAGCTTGGCTCATCAGTATGTGATATTTGTTAATGTTCATCTTCCCAATTTCTTCAGGTTGTATCTGGAGGCGTTGCAAGTAATTTATATATCCGGAAAGCCCTGGAAATGGTAACAAATGCAACACAATGTGCTTTGTTGTGTCCTCCTCCCAGGCTGTGTACTGACAACGGCATTATGATTGCATGGTAAGCCACTGGATGTATGAGCTTTACTCATAATTATGTAAATATTAATTGCCATTTCATCATGCTAAATCTTCCTCTAAATTGTGGGCTATTCATTTTATTTTACTGATTCTTATTTAGGAATGGTATTGAAAGATTGCGTGCTGGCTTGGGCATTTTATACAACACAGAAGGCATACGCTATGAACCAAAGTATGTGGTACCATTTATAATCTTCATGCAAGTTGAATTATGAAAGTCAAAGCCTGGATTTTGCTTTTACATTTGAGGTTTTCATTGACATTGTGGTAGTACTTGAAGAAAGGTTACATTAATTTCCTTTAATGAACTTAGGCTAATTAATTTATTTAATGAACTATAGTATCAAATTATAAAAATATGACAAATCATAGGATAGAAATAGACAGTGGGTAAGGGTGATGAATTACCTCAGAGAAGAATCAATAGAAACCTTGGGAATTTCTCAAGAAGGATTGGACACAGGTTTGACTTTAGCTGTGTGGTAAACTTTATGCTTGTAGTTTTATAGGGAATTATGAGGCATTTTTTGTTATTCTGTTTCATTTTCAGTGTTTATTTATTTACAGTATTTGAGAACAATAGAACTATTCCTTTCATAGCATCTAAATCCCCAAATTCATTGAGTTGTATACATTAAACACAGGTAGCTTTTTATATGTTGATTATACCTCAGAGTGCTTTTTAAGAAATCTCTTCAAATTTAGATTTCTTATTAATGGAATTAGCCTTCCTTCACCCATTCTTCTTGTTGTAGGTCTCACTGTATTTGTACATATTTAAGAACTATCACTGCATATGGGTGATTATACATCAGATAACTATATTGATTGTCAGAATTCTAAGCAAATAATATCCAAAACTAGTGACAAATCAGGAAGCAAATATTTGAAATAATGTGATTTGTCTGATTGTGATGCAGATGTCCCCTTGGAGTAGATATATCAAAAGAAGTTGGAGAAGCTGCCATAAAAGTACCACGATTAAAAATTATGATTTAAGTTTTACTTTTCAAAAATCCCTAAAGGTAATAATTTCAACATTAAGTTTTGATTTTTTTGTATATCAAATTGTGGAAGATAAATAATATTAATTGTTTATCAAGACTTCTGTTATACCTTTTTATGTTTGATGTTCAACCTTCTTTTCTAAGAGACTATAATAATATGTTATAGTCTTATAAGGGAGTATAAGTTTTTAAATTACCAAAAGCAAAGTAAGACATTTTTGTGGGGAAAAGAATGCATTAGTATTGGTGGGTAGAAAGAAAAACCATGAAAGAATTACAGTGATCTGCCAAATCCTGGCCCCATATCAGATAGGCCCAGATCTTTTTCCCCCTTTCTTATATCAGGATTGTAGACGCTATTGTTTGGCTCCTGCTAAAAAACACATTAGCCTGACTTTTTTAGTAAGAGAGCAGTTTTAGAAAGGTAGCCAGGTCAAAGTCATGTCAAATCAGAGCATTCTAAATCAAGACAAAAGTGACTTCTCTAACAGAATGTATGTTATTAACTATAAAAATATGTTGGTCAATTTTCTTCCATAAGTTTCTATGCACTCTGATTGTAATAGCCACAGGAAATAATACACCACTTCTCTATGAATTCAGATTCATGTGGTACAGACACAAATTCAAATGTAAAATGTGAATTCACAAACTATTAGTTTCTTTAAAATGATATTCACAAACCAATTCTATCATACTTATACCTCAACATCAAAAATGCAAAGGGGATGCATATGTATTTCTTAAAATCCATCTATTTTAAGAAATATGATATGCAAGTAACTCCTTCAGTGTGTATTATATTTTTTAGTTGAACACATACACTTACGGCCATTATTTTAGAATTTGTATTTAATCGATGAAAATATATGAGATAAAAAGGGTTTTTTTTGGTTTGCTTTGGGATAATTACCTTTGAATCTGAAACTTTGTACTGCAGCTATCGTAACAGTTTATCACATTTCTCTGCCTAGAGTAAAGCAGCTGAAGATACTATTTCATTGTATGGACAATGCTGCTGACTGTTTAATGTCCTTTGAGAGATTGTATCAAATTTATATTTCATCATCCATACTGGACCAAGTTATTAACTTTGTAATTAGTGACTTGCTTTATTGAGAAACTAGGGGGTAAGGATAAAAATCTAGAAAGAAAACATTTCTTATTTTAATCATGCCTTAAGGTGACCTCTCTTTTGAAAAATTCCATAGGTAGTTCTTTTTTTTTTATTGTGATCACACAATAGTATTGCATTGTCATCATCCATTTTATCCTGGACATAGAAAATATAATTTATATGGGGAACATAAAAAACATACAGAAACAGCAATATTTATGAAGCTTTGCATTTTTGATATTGAGGTTTAAGTATGATAGAATTGGTTTGTGGGGAACATAAAAAACATACAGAAACAGCAATATTTATGAAGCTTTGCATTTTTGATATTGAGGCTTAAGTGTGATAGAATTGGTTTGTGAGTATCATTTAAAAGAAACTAATAGTTTGTGAATTCACATTTTACATTTGAATTTGTGTCTGTATCATATGAATCTGAATTCATAGAGAAGTGGTATATTATTTCCTGTGGCTATTACAATCAGTGCATAGAAACTATGGAAGAAAATTGACCAAAATTTCTTGTACTATCACAAATATTATAAAATAGGGGTATATGTCATCTAATTTCTTAAAAATTCAAAGTATCAAAATTGTTCCAGGTGCTACAAGCACACATCATAATTGAGCTCATGATATAAAGAAGGGAAACTGCAGATAATGAAAATGAGAAAATTCTGGAAACATATTTTTAGTTCTATCAGTACTTACCCATAAGGAAGGAAGGAATGGAAAGAAGAAAAAGGAAAAGATGGAAAGGAAAAAGAAGGAAGAAACATTGACAAGCATATGTGCTGAGGTTAGTTTATAGAATAGTTAAGAGGCAGGCCATTTGCAGAAACCCTCTTTATCTTGGAGAATGGTCAGTGCTGGTGGCCACATTTTTTAGAGCCATGCTTTTGTATTTGATGGACAATGATTTCAGGGTTTTTTTAAAAAAATATATTTTTAAAGTATAATTTCAGGTTTTAGAAAGCGTCATGCAGGTATAGTAGTTATCATTAAATATCTCAAGGTATTTACAGTGTTAACATGTGGGCTACTTTGAGACAAGTCTCTAGCCCAGCTTACCAATTTTAAAATGTTTTCAACACTTGATAGACTAGCCACTCGTGTTGGTTGCCATGTTTTAATAGTTTTAAGTGCAAATATTCTATTACAGAAAATTCTACTAATTTTTTTTGAAACCATAACTAACCCGATAACAAAATCCCAGTAGACATGCTTAGGAAAATCTGTTAAGCATCAATATCAAGAACTTCCATTCAAAAAGATTACTAAGATACATGATGTTTACCAAAACTAAAAATTAGAAGCTTTAAAAGATAGCTCAGGTATCCTTTCATCCTTTCATACTGATGCTTTTATTAGTCTTCTGCAGACTCTGGATTATCTTTCTGTACATGTTTCCCAAGTTGGCTCAAAACTACTATTCTTGGTCTTGATACTTTTATGATATCTGATGAAGTTACAGATGAAAAGGAAAAAATATTATGAGAAACAGTGGTCTTTTTTGTTGTTTTGAAGAATCCCATGAAGTTAGTTACAGGAGGTATTAAAGTCAAAGAATCTCTTCGTTGGATTTTAGGTTTAAATTTTCTTTGGTGCTCTTTTCCTAAAAATTAGAGAGCCACAGTTAAATGTCTCTTTCTTACCTAAATGCCCTAGGTATAGTCTCATTGCTTTCAATTCTGCATAGTTCTGTTTTCTTCACATCGCTAAAGCATATTAAGAGAACAAGTCAGTAGCCCCCATACTTTTAGATGTCAGAGTGCAAAAATTGTGGGGACCAATATATGGTTGCCAATTATTTATTATTTCAAGTTGGCACTAACAAAAGAACAAATGTAAACTACTATCAACATCATTTTGTAAAAGAAGGGATATTTTAACACCAAAAGAAAGTGTAAAAGGCATTATTTCAAAATGACAGACTTTATATTGAATGAAATTAACTATCAGAAATTTGCTACATTGCCCTTATTTTTTATTTTTCCATAAACCTTAATGGTTTATGGTGAAACTTAATGGTTGTTTAGAAACCAATATTAAAGTGAAGAAAAAAGGGACTGACTTTATTCTTTTCTGTAAATTACTCCTACACTAAAGAAATTATACAAAAAATATTCTTTAACCTGTGATATTCAGAAATATAGCCTCCCACACATATGTAACTACCCTGAATAAATGAAGTTCTTACCTCTCCTTTTATTCTCTCTTCCTATTCTCTCCCTTTCTATTTGTGGCTTAAGCAAACTGATCATATCTTCTAAATGTTTCTAGCCTTGCTTTTCACCATGGGACAATATACGCTACTGTAAGCATACATGAATAAGCACCAAGCATATACATGAAGTCAATAAGTACCTTATTTTTCCTATTACATGTTTAATAGGAATTGGGGGATAATATTATCATATCTGGACTCTGCTCTTAACAGGCTTAGGTCACTCAGTCATTATCTACCAACTATGTATAAAACTATATGGAGTATCAATGGAAAAAATATGGTCTCTGCCCTGAGAACTTTTAAGACAGATAATTATATGTGAAACAGAACAATAGCAAGATCATAATTTAAGTCTTACGTGTTTCAATAATAACATTCTTGTGCATGGCTTGAGAGAAAAAACTACATAAGAAAGGAATTTCTGTCAGGTGAATTTTAATAGAGAAAACCTTAAAAGAAATTATTAACATGGGCTTGTAAATGAGAGGATGTTTTAGGTACACAGAAAAAGCAAAAGTTTACAGATAAAGTTTTTGGTAGCCTCTACATTTTCACTTTTTAGAAATGGAACACAGTATTATAAAGTGTCAGAGCTAGAAAGTAACTCAGAAATAAAGGAAAAATCAATTACCTTTTTTAAAGATAGGAATTATGGATGGTCCTCCATTTTTCTCTAGACTAAAAGGAAAACATTTTTACCACAAAAACTAGAAATATATAGAGACAGTATACCCAGATACCATGTTCAGTAGCTAACAGTCTAATTTATACAACTTACTTATACTAACTATGCATGTTACCTGCAGGTATTTTATATTCAGTTACTCATTTACTCACCACTCAAAATATTTGGAACATTAAATCTGCTTGAAGTGATTGGGAAAAGCTTCATGGGAGAAGAGACACTTCAGCTGGGTATGGAAGAAAATAGGTCTTCAAATGAATGACATGGGAGGAAGGTATTCTAGATAGAGGAAATAGGATATGAAAAATTATAGTACTGTAAAACGTCATGGCATGTTCAGAGGGCACTAAGTAGTCTGGGGTGGTTGGAATGAAATGTGATGGGAGATGAGGCTCAAGAATAAAGATCAGGTCAGTCAGTTTATGTATTGAGAATGAAAAAATTTGAAAAGCAATTATTGATGAAGTGTTTCAAGTCAAAGAAAGTATCTAAGTTAATATGGTGCTCTGTGTATGGCTTTAACAGAAGTGTTAATTATCATCCTGTACATGTAACATATAAATAGAGTATTACAAAATTTCCCTGGTAATAAAATGTAAGTCTTGATTAAAGTTAATATATTAAAGGTTGTTATCACAAATGTATTGCTTGTTACTTTGATGAGGAACATTTGCTGTTGTTAGCTTCAATGAGGCACAGGCCTCGGTCTGTTCACATGCAACTTCATAGCTATAGGGTAATACAAAACTAGCTAGTGTTAGGCTCAGGTTATTTTCATGCAAGGTCAGTTAACGCCAGTATAATTATGTCTTTCTACATACTTCAGAATGTATATATCCATGGCCTCTTCTAATCTGCTATTCTTGGAGCTGGATGGGGGCATGGGAATAGAGAAGTGGTATGTACTCCACAAAATGCTAGCATGATCACAACTATTCATCTACTTTCTGTTTCTAGTAGTGGTATCAGGGAATATTTTGTGGAAGGATATGATTTTCCATCCCAAAGTTCCAAATTGTTCTTACTAATCTTTTAGTGCATTTCCCATAGTTTGATTTGAATCAAACTCCTTCATGGATTGTTATAAAATTTAAAAGAAATAGTCCATACAAATGCTCTAAGGAAAGTGTATAGCACTATTAGTTATAGGAGTAATTGTTATTTGCTTACCAATTCCACTTCACTTGGTAACCATTCTTATAAGTTTACAGACCAATTGTTATAATCCTGAAGGTTGAGTATTCACAACTCAGGGGTGTCACTTGCCTTACAGTCATTGCAGATTTGTATAGTTACTACAAACATTTTCCAGCAGATTAGCAGCGAAGTGTCCTGAGGAAGGGGCACCTTTTTCTAATGACCAAAAAGTTGCCATTTGGGCTAGCTGTAAAAGTGACTGTGTAAAATAATACCTCCATTATTTACCTTAAATTAATTTTTTGAATCATTATTTTTTAATATTGTCAATTATAGCAGATGTAATTTTGATTTTCCTGGCTTATTATATAAAATTAGATAACCAGCTTTGGGTTTTCCATTTTTGAAAGAGTTAAAATTAAAGTGACTCTGAAGATGTACTCATTTTTCTCCATATTTTAAAACTAATTTATAGAACCATGATACACTATTGGATCTTATTCTTTTCTATTATCATAGATTTAATGTCTTCATTAGTTATTTCCTGTACCTAAATAGTGCTAATTGCAGAGAAGACTTGTATTCAGCTACATGTATGAAAAAAGAGAAAATTTGCCCATTATAAGGAGGTTCTCCTCTCTTTTTTTCAGAAACTTAAGTTCATAATGAAACTGACAAGAAGGAGGCAAAATCATCTGAATATATGCCTGAGGAACTTTGCCGTTACTTCAGCCCTGTTTCTGCTGTGGGAATTTGGCATAGTTTTGAGTAAGTCCAAAAGTTCATATGTCAAGGACATGGTGTTCCTGGTTGGCTTAGAACTCTCAAATGTACCCCAGCTTACCCCCAAATGGCTTCCTGGATCAGACTTAGAGGCAACCAGTCTCCCAAAAACTTGTCTGCATTCACAGTTCTGTTGCTAAGTTGAAATTAAAACAGGCATTGGCAATGGACATTTAGAGTGAAGTTTTTCTCTTGGTAAACAATTCATATGAAGAGTTCCCTTTGTTTGATCTTCCTTCAACTTCCTTAAAATTTCCTCTATCAATAATTTCACTACTGCAAATTCAAACAGAAGCACAGTACCTTAAGGAAGGAAGTCCCACTCTTTGTTGCATTTGAAATTCCTTTAAAAATGCTGGGTTAATACTTGCATCTCTGCTGATATTATTTGTTATACGAAGGAACTGACTGGGCTTATTCCTGCACTCCTTTATTAGTATGCGGAAAGCATTTGCATTGTAAGTTAAGTAGCCAAGAGCACAGGAGCAAGCTGTGCGGACCTAGGTAAAGAAGAAACAATTCCTCCTTAAATACTGAGCTTTGTTCTTAAAATATCTAACCCAGTGGTCTCATTAGAAATTTCACAGGAAAGTCTTTATAGCTATGTATAACAAATACATATGTCAACCAGTGGCAATCTATAGATGGAAGCATAACAGCCATAATTTTAGAGAGGGCTGCCAACTGCCATTGATTTCTACTAGGTCTCAATTCCTATTACATTTTTTTAGAACCACCAGGAGTTTAAGGAAAAGCCCACCAATTGAATCAGAATCTCTTGGGGATAGAATCTGGGTATTTGTGTTGTTCTTTAAATGCCACAGGTGATTTTAATGTTTAGCCAGAGGAAAAAACATTGAGTTTTAACTAAGAGGGTTTCAGTCTTGATTATGCCTTACAGTCACCTAGATAGCTTGAAAATTATTTGCACCTGAATTCCACCCCTTGAAACTGATTTAATTTTGGAGGGGTGCAGCCTGGACATTGGAATTTTTCAAAACTGCTCAGGTGGTTGTAATAGGAAGCCAGAGAAGAGACTGTAGGACAAAAGTAAGTTAAAAATAAGACACACAGGAAAGCAACTCAGTTTTCCACTGGTGAAAAGAAACAAGCACAAGTGTCAGGCCACAGAATTCCAGAAATAGTAGCCATTTTCTTCTTTGAAGGAAATACCTCTGCCTGTGACCTGAAGTAATTAGGTTGTCATGTGATTAATTAAAGTATAATTTTTGGGGCAGTTATTAGGAAAATCTGTTAGTGGTGGCATAAGAAATATCATAGAATGAAAATAAACCAGGCCCATGCAGGATAATAGAGGGTTGACATATTGGTCTTTATATTGGCAACTGACTGCTATACATGCCTGTATATCTTCCACATCTTGAACAGTGGTTCTCAGTTTATGTTCCCTGGACCAGCTGCTTCAGCTTCTGCAAACTTGTTAGGAATGCAAATCCTAGGGTGTTAGGTATTCTGATCTAAGGTACTACATCAGAAACTCTGAGAATGGAGACCAGCAACCTATGGTGATTCCAGTGTACCCTGAAGTTGGAGAAACACTACCATAGACTTTGGGGGAGAAGTGTGGGGGAACACTACACACCCTCATCTCTAACACTGTCTGGCAGGTAAAGAAAACTGTCCATTGGATTCCACTTTCATTCATTCCAAATAATCACAGAAATGACTTAGATCATAAAAATGAACCAGTTTTTATGAGATATTTTATAAATGTTTTAATTATACATTTCTTTATCAGTATACTTTTTCATAGATTGAATCTTAAATACTGAAGTTAAAACAAATAAGCACAATTGTGGGAACCAAAATTGTGTATGGCAGATGTAGTATTCAAGAAATTATCTAATTTTGAGTTAGTAGCATGAAGTATTATACAACAGTCAACTTACAGAGAAATTAGCCCACAGAAGTGAGAGAGGCAATTATATTTTTAGAATAGTCAATTTTAGAATTATTTTTGTTTTTACCTCTTCTTTTCCTGAATACAAATGATAGCAGAGCCGTTGGATCGTCCCTAATGTGGTAAATGCTTCTGGAATACCAGCTCTAGAATGAGCCAGGCTAGCTATTAAATTCCCTATAAATTAAACAAGAAAAAATGCTTGTTATTTAATTGATACAAACTGACATACTGTGCTTTTGTTCATTTACACAAAGTATTAAAAAGGTTTGAATCACAGACATCTCTATTAATGAAGTGTTGGGAGGATAGTGTATGTTAAGTGTAGAATACACTTTTGCCAAAATTATCATGGCTTTGTTTTCTGTCTCAAATAGTAAAGGTTACATAGTTTATTTAAGAGTGAGGAATTTTGAAAATAAGAGGTTTTCTTCCTCATGACTTCAGAATATATTTTGTTTTGAAGCTCTAGGGTTTTTTTTTTTGTGACTTCGGATGTAATAATTGAACTACCATATAATATGTCCTTTATGTAGTTCTAATAGCTTTGAGTTAAGAAGAGCATAATGGTATTTTAAAATCAAGCAATGTATTGTTTATTGAAGTTTAAATCTAAAATCAAGATTTTGCTGTAAAATGAAATGTTTTGGGATTGGAAATAATAAAGTGATCTGATAATTAAATAAATGTGCAACTACCAGCTTAAAATTATTTCATTTGAATTCATGTTTTTGGAGCTTTCATGTGATATTTTTTCACAGTATTTTTGCTATGTTGGAGTAAGTTTAACACATTTTAAGATAATGCATTTTTACATTTGTGAATGGATATTATATAGAGATATTAACTGGGTTTTTGTTTTCCTTGTATTTTTTTCTGGCCTCCATTATAAGCCAAGAAGGCTTTTATATTGATTGCTTCAAGATGGGGAGGGCCAGATTCTATGCCCTAGAGCAAAAATTGTCTGAAGATAACCTTTCTTTCAGGCTTATATTTTAAAAAGCCAGAGTTTATAAAAGGCATTATGCTGGGGAGAAGAGCGAGAGGTGTCTTTAAAGATAGGACTAAGAATTAGGAAACAAATGGAGGAGGACAGAGAAACTAAGTCTAAGAAGAAGATAGAAATAGTTCTAGTGGAGAATGGCTAAGTAGTGCACAAAGGGAAACTGGACACTTGCCAGCAGAAATCCCACGTTCTGCAAAACTTCACCTTTGGAGCCTCTTCTAGGAACCATGTTGACTTGGACACTAAGCTCATCGTTTATTTTACTTACACCTAAGGCTTAAATATTCTGCTTTGCTTGAGATACACTGGACATACATTTGACTCTAGAGGTGTGTATGACTCTGATGGTGGAGTGCAGAGAAAGCCCAGTAATTTTTGAGATTGAAATCGTACCAGCCTGGGGAAATTAATATTTGAAAGCTAGTTTGTTTCTTGCATGTAAGAATTTGTGGAGTAGAATTTAAACCCACTACAATTGTGTTTCAGAGTCATGAAAGTACTGTGACAAATTAAGAATGTTAGATAGAAATATATTTAGTAATTTCTTTTAAACATATTTTTCTTAGCTAGTTTCCAATAGAAAGTTTTAGTTTGCTTGAATTTTCCTTCCATATCAAGTAAATATACTCCATAAAAAAATAATTCTGTGGCAGCAAGTGGAGTTTCCTTTGCTGCCTTCAGTTATCCTTGTTGGTTAAAAAATAAACACCATATTTATTTTTTGGTAGTAGTCACCCCATATGGCTGTCATTCCAATACTGTTTGTGTTGAGAATGATCAAGTGAGTTAACTTACTGATCATCTCAAGAGTTAGGTCTGGAGTAGGTAATAGTTACACAATTATCTTTAGGTGTGTAGAGAGCCCTCTTGGGCCATTTTGTTTTGCTACTTCACATAGCAATATAGGAAAATCCTAAATGTTAGCTAAATATGCACAATTGGTCAAAAAAGAAACCAGACAGGTACATCGGTATAAATCTGCCACTACTGCTATTAATCAGTGTGTAACTTGGTGGTGGTCGCTAGTAATTGGATTCTCATTTCATACTCTGGAAAAAATTATTAGGGGTTCGAAATGTAATTAGGAAATCAAAAAGACCATGTTCAGAGTTGACTCTGCTCCCATTCAGGACACAGAGTAGACTCACATTGCTCCATGTAGACTTAACACTGGTTCATTCCTCAAACTGTGTGACAGGTGTATCAGACTTATTATTTTATCATTGCTCAGATTATAAGAAAGCTTTTTCAAAAACAGTTTTATGTGAGTACAGTTAGCTTCTAGTTATTTCTTACCTGTCAAGACAATAGTAGTGGAATGAATTGAATATAGACTATCTGCTAAAATAGTAACGCCTCTTGCAGATAAAGTAATATGGTCCACATCTATAATGACTTTAGCTAATACAATAATCTAAAGAAAAAAAGCATAGAATCATTGAACATTTTCTACTCATATTTTCTAATTAAGCCTTATGTTTAGGGGGGCACTTCTCAGGAAGGTAGAAGGAATCATTTGGTATGATTCAGTAGAAGAGAAAGCAAGTGGCAAGGGAGGAGTTTGCATACTTGTTCCTGTCTGATCACTGCAGTGACAATAGTAGGCCATATTATTATTTCTTCAGTGTTTGCAACCTTTGCATCCTAGAAGTATGGATTCATAGAAAATACTAATACTAAAGGTCAGAGGATAGAAAAAGAAGAGAATAAGACTAGGAAGAACCCAGATACACATAATTGTCACAGGTTGAAGAATCAGGGTGATCAGCTAAAGATTTGCAAATGAATACTTGTGTTGAGCACTACCACATTTCTCTCTTTCCTTGTAATCAGGGGGTGATGAAAATACTACTATCTGCCTAGCAACCTGACAGAGTTGTTCTAAGCATCAGCTGAAGAATAAAGGCAAAAGTGCCATGTAACTTGTAAAATTCTATATAAATGAAGAAATCCTCATAGGATTTTTTATCAGGTGGAAGGGTCTGGTGTGAAAAATACTGTGAATTTTACAAATCAGTAAACATTTTTCTAAATTCCTTTTTTAAATTTTTTCTATTTTCAAGTTTTCACTAAGAAAGATTTATTGATTTGAAGTTTTAATTTCCAGTTTTATACCTGAAATGCTGCCATTGCCTTTTCAGTTTCAACTGTAGATTCAAGAAAAGGTTCCAAAATTGATATGGTCATTATTCCACTTTCCAGTATTAAGTATTGTTGCAAACGATTTTTGAAGGCAAAAAGGGCTAATGCATAGCCTGCTCTTAAACAAATATCCTGGAAATGGAAGAAACATGCATTATCTTGAACTTACTTCATTTATCATGTTATTAAAGGTAATAGACTTTTAATTATTATCCATTCAAATACAGCTAACCCTCAAGCAATGCAGGGGTTAG